TGAACCGACTATTCGCTGTGTGTTAAGGCGTTCCATAACCAACTTTAACTTACCCCGCATGCGTCTTTGCCTCCGAACGGACTGCCAGCACAGATCATTTCTTCATCGTTAATCTTCTTACCGTACTTTTTATAGCCCATTATGCACTTCTCGCGATCTACAGTCCACACTCCAACTTCAAGTAGCAGGTCGCTGTTAAACCCGAAATCTTAAAATAAGCGTGTAATTAATTAAGTACCAAACTGACCATCGTACTCACATGAGGTAGTGCCCCAGCCGGTGGCGTAGACTAGTTTACCTGCCTCATAGGTCGTTGATTGCGGCGGCAAACAAATCGGTTGGACGTTAAATTTAAATTCAACCGGCTCCGACAGCTGCAAAAAATGAACTATGTAACATATTAAATGGAAACATTATTCCGCTAGTACCACACGGCTGTAAATCTGGACCTCTCACGAAGGAACCAATGCTCACGTATGACACAGTTAGCTAATAATCTATTGATTTTTGAAATACAGCTTTGAAAAATGTTATCCTTGGTTCACATAACTGAGCATACATGTCCAAGTTGTAATATCTCGTCATGTTTACAGTGTTTTGATTATCCAAACGACGGAAGCATGACATTTTTCATGATTTCCAAATATCAATATTATGTAATCTCGTTTAATATAATAATTTACGAATGATAATAATAATATAATCTACACCGAGTGGGTCTTGCTGCTGGCTTGCAAGCAAAGAGCTCTGGATATGGAGGTTAGCTGAGAGAAATAAGCAGTCGCGGACATACAGCAGCGATTTCACGGGGTCTCAGCGAAACAAGTTCGTTCCTGAGCGAAAAAGTCTAAATGCTCAATGAAAATCAGATGTCGAGGCGAAAGTGACCCGGCCCTTTGAAGGAAAATGCCGCCGCCTAGGGGTTACATGTCGGTTCGTCAAAGACACAACAAGAGACGGCGATAATGAATCAAAATTTGGGCACTCGTCTGTACGAAAATCTTCAGTCCGTCGTCGACTCTGCCAGCGGTTAGCAAAACGAGTAAATGGATTTCAGTTCCCTGCTTGACTCTCGACCCCTTTAACAGCAGCGGTTCGAAGTTCGACTAACAAGAGGCTGCCAAGAATCCTATGTGAAAAGCCTCTACCCGGTAAACGAACATGGACTTCTGTACCGGACTTCCGTTTGCACCTACAACTGTGGAACTGTGGCAAGAGATGACACGCTAACAGATGGAGGAAAGGTCAAGGATGTCTTACTACACCCTCGACCTCTGTGACACAGGAAAGCGAGAAAAAATATGTCAGCATGGTAATCTCATTTGTCCGAGAAGAGGAGAGGGCAAGAAAACAATAAAAGGAATGGGATTTGTAGTCAGCCAAGGCTGGTCCTTCAAATCGCCTCCTATCACGAGGAGCCACAAGATGTTGGTCCAGAAAGTTCAAAAACTTGGCTAAAGAAGATCTGAAGAATTATCGCATAATCTACCTGCTCTTGCACGTGTACAAGCTGTTCTCTAAGGTCATCATCAACACTGTAAACAGGCCTCAACCAACGGTAGCAATGAGAGCGGGCAAAATTTCAAAGGAGCTACAGCACAGCGCATAAAATGGAGTACCACCTGGAAATCGTCGAAATCGGTAAAGTATTCGATGCTGTCGAGTACAGCTGAACCGCGCTGTCAGAACAGTGGACAACATTAATTGCATCGACCTAACAAAGGAAACGAACTCTGGAAACTTCAGAAACATCGCGCTGCTCCACGTCACCTCATATTCCTCATAAAGAATAGCGTGAACAGCAAAATACCACTTCCCTCAAACATTTTGCTGCGAGGAAATGATTTTCGGTAGTATAAACTGGAATGGCATGATTAAGTGTGAGGTACTAAGTTTTTTAAGGTACGCTGATGACGTGGGCGCCAGTTAGCAACAACACATGCTGCAAGAGCTCGAAAGAAACAATGCAGAAGGCGGACTGCGAGCCAATCGGTTAAAGGCGGAGAATCTGCGATCAGATGCCTTTCTGAACATCCAAATAATATTAAACAGTGAGAAGATGGAAGAAGCTAATAAATACATTTACCTGGTTAATGAGATCAACATGAGTTATAATCGTACTGAAGAGATTGAATGACGAAAGTGGCCAATTGGCGTGCATTCTATTCTATGAACGACATCGTTCTCAGGAACATCAGAAAGGAACCCGCCCCCAACTCTTATATTTTGCCGTACAACCAGCGATATCGTATGGCAGTGAGACGCGGCCACTCACTAAAGTTGAAGAAGGTCAACTACGTAGAAAATATAGAGGATAAGCTACGGTTGGCTGGGAACGTAGCTCGGTTCACAGAAGAGAGAGGGTCAGTAGTGATCATCGATTCGTACCCTCGCTGGCGGACGAAAATGCTTGGTCACTCATCACGGTGCCAAGAGTATATTATCTGCCGGTAAGGCTGAGCTTCAGCAGAAGGCTCGAAACCACGAACGATGGCACGTGTGTTGCGGCTGGCGCAATTGGTCGCCAATTACCGGCCGGTCCAAATGATCAAAGTGACAATCTAGGTAGCATTAAGGGATTCTCCGTTCTCCTGGCAGAACGTTTAGTAGGTAGAAGTAATAATATGTTGAAACCTCATAGCTTAAACAAGTAATAAAGTAAGTAATAATATTTAAGTAAATAACAAAGTGTATTCTTCCACGCTCCTTCTGTTCAGATCTTCAGTATGAGCATCTTTTGCTTCTACAGGCTCAATCCGCCGAGTAACACAACTTTGGATGTAACTTCATCGCAATGGAAGATGTTCTTGACTCTAATGGCCATGGCTGTGATCCCTTGCCACGGTCATTGCGCTCGTTCCATGACGCATGCGCCAAGGACCGGTTTTTCATTAGCACAAATTTCTGCAGTTACGAAGACTTTCGCTACATATAATATTTATTTCGCAGGAACTCGTGTTTCAATGCAACAAACGTAGAAACAAACGTACGTACCTGTATTAGACTTATGTCATTTTCCATCGTATAGACGTTATATTGGGGGTGCATGACTATCTTCTTAATGGTTCTCCACTGAACGTTCTCATCCCAAAAATTCGTATGGTTGTGCATTCCCAATCCAATTATGTATTGCGATGGATCGTTATTCGATTCGAATACATGAGATGCGCTGACAAGCCACTCTTCGTCGATCAGACTCGCACTGCCATGAAGC